GGTGTAAAACCAGGAGAAACTTGGAGAGGAGCGTGCCCCAGTGTGTTTCCTGCAGCACGGGGGGGTGTGTTACAGCCATTGTGAGGAGTCCGTGTGCTCACCAGAGGGTTGTCTCCTCTGCTCAGGGGTTGCCAGGCGCCAGGTCAGCGCGGCGCGGGAGGCCCTGTCCTCACTTGCTCTCCCGGGGTTCCTCTGGGTGGAAAATCACTGGGAGACGGGAATCACCCTCTGCCAAACTCCTCCGGCCGCGCTGCTGCTGGAAGGATCTTTGCCCCACGGCTTTGCAGGGGGAAAAGAAAAAGAAAAAAGAAAAAAAGAAAAAAAGGCGGCCCAGAATTTTGCCCTTTTGAGTTTTTCCCACTCACCAAATGCCTGGAACGCCCTCCCCTGCATTAAGGGGAGCCGGGGTCACCCCAAAATCCAAGGGGGGGGGGGAACAGCAAAACCCACGGGACAGGGTGTGCTCTGCATCGAAAAGCCAGCCTAAAAAATCAGACTAAATAGATGATAAAAAGTATTTTCTTGATAAACGAGGACTGGTTTTTTTTAGGAGAGCTGTGGGCACCTAAAGGTCCCCTCCTTTAACTGGGGGGAGCCAGGGCCGGGAAGAAAAGTCTCGAAATAGCAACCCCCCCTGCAGAAATGCTCCTGGCTCTGAAATTTTGCCCAAACCGGGGTAATTTTTAGAGCACCGGGGCGGGGGGGACACACCACAGCAGCTTGAGCTCTCGGCCGACGTGGCGTTCCCCCCCCACCCCCGGGGCAGTGCCCGGGCGGATTTTCATTTGCCTCCTTCCATTCTTAGCCCATTTTTAATTAAAAAGCAAGACAAAACCTCAACCTCTGGTGGCCTAACTATGTGTTTTTAAGGCCGCGCCGCTCCGTCCCCTCCCTGCCCACACCCTCTGCCTCCAGCCTTTGAACAAGCTGCCCTTATTTTATTTTATTTTTATTTTATTTGGGTTTTTTTTTCTTGGTTTGTTTTATCACAGTTGACTCCAGCAGGAATTAGAGGTCCTGCAAAACCAAAGATACCACTGAAACACCGCCCAGGAGGGTATTTTGGGGTGTGGACACGCTCGGGCACCCTGCAATTCCCTGGGCAGGGGCAGAGCCAGCCCTAAAATTACACAGACACCCCCCAA